GTCTACGGGTTGACACTGATACTGTACACAGGTAAGACGGGGATCTAGGGATCGAGCCCTGGGATCTGCATTCGCTACCGCGAACTGGTGAATACTTTGGGCAACTTTGGGCAACATCTCATCCCAGTTAATCTGGTCTGCTCTAATGTACATGCGCAGAACTTGCTGTAGGATCTTGTTCATCTCCTCGGTCTGACCGTTAGTCTCTGGATGACGGCCGGACGACATCAACAACTTAGATCCATATACTCCCACGAGTTCTTGCCAGTTCTGGCTGGTGAAGCGACTATCTCTATCGCTCACTATCGACAGCGGGATTCCATTCTCACTAACCCAATAGTAAAAAAACCTCTATGACTAAATCGGTACGTGCCTCTGAAGGCAAAGGAACAAAAACTGCGTATTTACTACATCGGTCAACTATGACCATGACTTGGCTCTTGCCATGCCTGCTCTTGACTTGAGTGTCCATGAAATCGATAGGCATTGAGTCCCCCGGCTGGTCCGGAATGGGCAAGGGTCTGAGAAGGCCTAACGGGGCGTGCGTAGAACTTTTGCTACGCTGGCAAACCTTACAACTGCGAACATACTCTACGCAGTCATTCTTCATCCCTGGCCAGGTATACGCGCGCATCCAATTGGCTAAAGTCTTTTGCCAACCAAAGTGACCCTCTGTGTCGTGGCATTCGCCCAAGATCAGACTACGAATCTCTTCGCTATTGGGGATGCACAGGCGGTCAAAGACATTAGTCTTCTCAAATGATAACCCTTCGGTAGTGCGGTAGTTCGGCTCAGTCTCTGGGGCCTCTTTGACTTTCTTAAGGAGGTCAATATAGATAGGGTCCTGCGCGTACGCTTCTCTAACCCTCTGCTGCAGGTCCTTCCCTATATCAAGATAATGCACTATCGCATCAAAGTAATCAGCCCTTCTACTTAGAGCATCCGCGACTACGTTATACTTCCCTTTGACAGGCTTGAGCTCAAAGTCGTACTGATCTATGTCTGCGGCCCACCTAGTAAGCTTAGGTGTCATCTTGGCCTGCGTCTTTAACCACCGTAACGTTTCATGGTCCAAATAGACTTTGAAGTGCCTCCCAAGCAAGTAGTGCTTCCAGTGGTCTAATGCTTGTCTGAGAGCGTAGAGTTCCCTCTCATAGGTAGATGTCGCAACCTTCTCTGAAGGCATCCTAGCGGACATGAACTCTACGGGTCTATAGCCATTGCCATCGTCTTGCTGTAACACTGCGCCTATGCCGTACTGGCTAGCATCCGTAGTAACAACAAAAGGCAAGGACGGATCGGCGACCTTAAGGACCGGATACTCTATCAACGCCTGCTTTAGCTTCTTCATGGCGGACGTGCAGTCCTTGTCCCACTTCCAGATTGTCTCTTTTCTCAGCAATCTGCGAAGGGGCGCAGCGATGGTGGAGAAGTTCCTTACAAACTTCCTGTAGTAATTCGCTAAGGCCAGGAACGAGCGCAACTCTGTCAGCGTACGTGGCGTGGGCCAATCTCTAATCGCTGCAATCTTGCTATCTTCTGGCTTAACGCCGTCTCCGTCTAAGACGTGGCCTAGATACAAAACTTGGGTCTTCGCCCAATCGCACTTCTTTGCATTGATCTTGAAGTTAGCTTCTCTCAGCTTCTCCAAGACTTGCCTGAGATGACCCCGAAGCTCTTCGAGGGTCCGGCTAAACACTAGGATGTCATCTAGATAAACTACAACGAATCTGT